AAGTGTTTGATTCTAGCCCACTTTCTGTGTCCTAAGAATTCTGAAAGGTAAGGGAGTCCTGCTTGAAAGACTGCCCCAGGGGAATTAAAATCCTCAGGTACTTTAGACCCCAAAGGAAGGTCTTAGAAGGTACATAGGCATTGGCCACTAGAAGCAAAAAAATACCTAAGCAGAGGAAGAGGACCTCGGCATGTACAGGACTGGAGAGCATCTGTGGGGAGCTAATAATTATAGCTGCTCACATAGTTAATAGTACAGGTATCCCATGTTATGCTGAATTCTATTGCTGACAGTAAAAATGAAAAAAAAAATTATATCAGCATTACCAGTTGTCAAGAAATTCTACTACCAACTTTAATGAGAACTGATTTTTGGTCTTTGGGTTCTAAGAACCCAAAAGTGTTGTGCAAATAGATTGCTGGTCACTTATAGATAATGACCTTCAGAAAGGGCTAATGCAGTTAAGCATCTTTCCTTAGTAATTGGGTATATTTCCTTAACAAGATCTATTATCTGTCAAAATACATTCCAAGCTATGCTATGTAAATTTGTTAGAGATTGATTACTCAAATTTAGATGACCTTTACTTTAGAGTCTATTAGGAATTGGAAGCAAAATTATTATTGCTGTTGTGTTTGTATCTAATTATAATTAAGAGGTGTAACATTAGTTTGTACTTCCTTTCACCTTTTGCTTGTAGAGACAACCTGTGGGTGAAAAACAGCAGTGAAACATCACAATGTCATTGCTAGTTATCTGAGGGAATCTTGAAAAACAGGGTGTCTTCCTTGGTGAGGAGAGAGTAGGGACAGTAGTATAGTTGCTGGCTGGTTATGGGTAGATCTCTATTGGTTTTACTATGAGCCTTGGTTTCTTAGAAAGATCTAAGTTAATTGATAGTGTCTCCTTGATACAGTGTTAGTGTAACCTAATTATACTAAGAAAGAGAACAGACATTGGAGACCAGGATTTGGATTCTGAATTAACCAGACTAGTTCCCAAGTTTCAAACCTTTACTGAGGGAAAAAGCATTAAAATTCCATGAAGTTGCTACTTGACAAACATGAGGACACAATTACAAATCAATGTGATTTTGCTATAGGAATTCAGTGAATACATAGTTAACGTTTTTAATTGAACACTCTAGGTGCATGTTAAGCATTAAAATGACAGGTGGTCATGCAGGATTGTTACCAAAAAATGGGTAAGACTCTATCTCCATCCTCAGGGGACTTGTGGTTCACTTGAAAGTCCAAGTGATATACTTAAATAATATGAAAATAGTTCAATTCACCACAAATTAAATGCAGATTTGTGTTCTATAACTCCACGAGTTATAAAAGGACACAGTGAATATTTTGCTTTCTAGAGGAATTACTAGAGCGATATAAAACATTGATCATATAGTTAAGAATTGAAAAAACACTTGAAGACAGGCTTTCAAAAATATTTACAAATAATTTGTTTGGAAGTTGTCTTAACAATTAAAACATACCAATGATTTGTCACTACCAAAAGCAATGAGCAAAAAGAAGGAGGTAATATAAAGGATGAAACAGTCAACTTATTATAGTGGATTGTATATTTGGGAGATAAATATAAACAAAACACTTAAAAGACACAAGAGGGTAAAGATTATGAACCTCTAGTTCCAGGGAAGGCACCACCGTGCACAACCCTGCATTTCAAAGTCAAAGTCAGCTTTTGTCACGATGTAAACTACTATGTCATGAAATTTTGTAGTACCTTGGCAAAGAGTTCCAAAGGTGAGCAATCTAACCAAAGCTAAAGATCAGTTTAAAAGATTAAGAAATTTGCAAGGAGCACAGAGACACCCAATGATAGTCAGAGGTTTTGCTTAGCTCTTTGGTGAAGAAGGAGCTAATATACTGACAGTCCCAGTATGTGCTCTTCATCATCATTGTGAGAGTCTGCAGGTACCGTTAGTGGGATGGTGGTATAGTTGTCAAAATAAACCCCTTTCTTTGGGGTTTATCCCCTCTATTCATTTACGTTATCATAAGCATATTAGTGCAAAATACTATTAAAAGCTAGTAATGACTCAGAAATAATAGCATAAACACAACCACATGCTCACAGTTTGATAGGAGACTATCAGGATATTCAAACATTCAAAGTCACAGATAATAGTGCTTGATCAATGTGCAAAAATAGTGTGTCAATCCTAAAGTATATGGAGTTGGTAGCTTCCAGAGATCTAATCATCGTCAATTTTGGATTCAGATCTTATAATTTCACTTTTCTATTATGATATCTATAATACTATATATAACAATATATTGAATAATATATATAAAATTTTCCTAGCAATCATAATCTTAGTTTTGCAGATTTTCATCATTTTATAAATTATACTTAGTTTTTGTGACCACTCTTTTGGGAAGTGTGATCATGTGATACATTAATGCTTACATATAAATTTTTATAGGGCACTTATGCTACAAGTATTTCATTTTATGAGTATGCCATATTTCTTTCTCAGTTCTGTTTCAATGGATATTTGAATTATTTCAGTATTTTATTATTATTACCCTAATTACTATGAATTGTCTAGCATGTGACTCTGTACACATATGCAAAAGTTTCACTATGGTATGTATTTAAGATTGTCAATGCCAGCTGTGTGATATACACATATAGTATGTGTGTGTATGTATATATATATACACACACATACACACAAAAATACATGCACACATGTGTGCATATAGGCACAAATTTTTATATACACATACATATGTAAAGATGAATGAGGGATGTTATTGCCCTGCTAACTGCTGTGGTTAAGAGTATTTTCAGTTTGTTTCTCCTTCTATGAAATACTTGCCTGTATTCTTTTTTTTTTTTAAAGAGGCATGTTTTTATTTATTTGTTTGTTTGTTTGTTTGTTTGTTTATACAGGCACTGGGTACAGTCAGAAGCACGGGAGGGTGAGAGAATTCACCAGAGCCAGAGCGGGGAGCAGAGCAGGCAGAAGGACCAAAGTACACTGCTGAGGGGAGCAGCGGGTGGCAGGAGAGGTCTGCGCGCCATGTGGGACCCTCCTCAGGTGGCCGGGGAGCAGCCAGGGATCGAACTGGCGCCGCAGAGGCCGCGGGCAGCTTCGCAACCCAGTGCTCAACCGCTGCACCACCATGGAGGCCCATTGCCTGTATTCTTTACCAATATTTTCTATTAGGTTATCTGCCTTTTTCCTGTTCATTTTCAGTAGTTACCTATATTCTCCAATATTAACTCTTTATCCCTTATATGTGATGCAGATGTCTTATGCGAATTTGTTGCTTGATTGTTATATTTTCTTCATGATATTTTTATGTATTTTTCATGTGTATCAGAAAAATTTTGCCTATCTCAAAGTCAGAACACTGCTTTGTATCATTTTTTTTAACAAGCCTTTTAATGTGTCCTTTCACATTTGAGTATTCCTTTACCAAGGCTTGAAATGTAATTTCTGCAGCAAAGGTAGCTATAATTCGTTCTCCCCATAGGAATTCCTAGATGTCCCAGTGTTATAGAGCAACCCCGATATTAAATGGGTTCCTGGCTGTGGGTCCTCACCCGCGCGCTTTAAAGGGACTTATGAATACTCTACTACAGACACACGCCAAAGGGTTAATAAAAGGTTTATTTACAAGAGAAAAGGAAATAAGGAAAATGTACAACTCAGGGAGAAAATAGGGAAATAAAGTCTTTAATGCGTCCTACCCGATCCGAGGACCTGGAAACCCCAAAGTCACTCTCAGAGCTGACCGGACGCTGCTGCTGGCCAAGAGCCCCAAAATGGAGAGCCCCCCAAAGCCCACGTGTCTGCCTTTTGTATCCACCTGGCTGCTTAACCCCACCCTCAGGTCCCAGCCACCTTCCCTTTGGTGGTGATGGGATTTGGAGTTCCCAGTGTCTTTGGCTTTGGCCTGGGGTGGGGGTGGAGTCCACAAAGCCTGTATGGAATTAGCTTTAGGACATCCTTTTCCCCCTAACACCAGCACCATTTGTGTTAAGTTTTTATATCTCTAAGCTCTCCTGCCACCATTACCAAGCCTTCAAAAATGTAAGTCTTTGTTCTTGTGTCCTTACTGCACCCCCCTCAAATTCCACTATTTTAATCACTGTTTTTAATGCTCCCTTACAACTTACTGTTAATTGTACGTGGCTGATGATGCTTTAAATTTATTCCTACCATGTAAAATTATCTTTATTTTCTCCAAGGAAATATCTCAAATAGGTGATCTAGGGGACAGATAAAATAACATTTTTTCACCACTTGGGAAGGACCTGATATTTTCTTTTTTAAGGTAAGTTAAAATGGTGTTTCCATTTTCTCTCTCTCTCTTTTCTCTTTTAAAGATTTATTTATTTATACAAGAACTGGGGTACAGGTCAGCGGCGTGGGACAATGAGAGAATTCACCAGAGACAGAGCAGGGAGCAGAACAGGCAGATGGACAGAGCAGCGGGGAGGAGAGGTTTGCTGAGGGGAGCAGCGGGCGAGGCAGGAGAGGTCTGCCACACCATGTGGGAATCTCCCTGGCTGGCGGGGACTTGAACCCTTGCTACAGAGGCTGCGGACAGCTTCACAGTGCTGTGTTCAACCCGATGCGCCACCAGGGAGGCCCCTCCATTTTCTCTCTTTTTCCAATAAGTATTAGATGCTTATTTTTAACTGGAATTGTTGTGACTTTAAGCTGATACACAAATGGTAGCATACACGACAAAAAACATTTGGAAGCTGTTTTGTAAAAATTCTTGAAAAGCTCATTTTTATATGGAAATTGCAACTTTTCAAACACTTATAGTTCATTCTTTATCAGTATATCAGTATGAGATGTAAAAAAAAGAAAACATATATGGATATATACCCAAAATAGGAGAGACTGAATTCCTTGGATATTTGTCCAGCACTGATGTCTCTGAGTGTTGCCTTGGTATTGTACAATAGCCCTGCTTTCCTGGTTAGACAATTTCTAAGCATTTCTGTCTTACCTGTATGTCCTTGCTTCTTTTTACCTTGCTGATTATCACAGCTTGATTGAATTCTAGCCCATCAGGAATCATAGTGTTGTTCTTCTTTTAATTAAGACTATTTAAACGAACTGTTCTTCCTTCACTTGAGTAAAGCTGTAGCCTCCTAGTAACCTCTGCTCAGCATCTTCCAGTTAAATGTAATCTTTTCCTTTGTCATAACTCTCCTAAGTATGGAAACAAACAAATCTTTGATTTAGGGACTTTTTTTTGAATACTTAATAGGAACTCAGACAACTCATATTTACTCTAATTCTCCTCTTTGAATCCCTTTTCCTTTCTTTGTATGTCACTTAATAATTAATCCATTGTGAGTAAATTTAATCACTGTTATATTTCCCTATTGAAGTTCCAAGTTTATTTTTCATGACCAAAACCCATATAAATTCACATAATACACCATATATATGCCATGCATATTTTTTCTCTTTTTATCATATTTTATTTTTTTAAAATAGGTGAATCCCCCCCCTTTTTTTTTAAACATCATCACACTATAACAATTACACAAAACAAAAGTACATGCAGCTATAGTCATATACTGTATGGGCAAGAACATCTACATTCAAATCAATGTGCAAAAATATAGTGTCAATCCCAAAATATAACAAGTTGTGTAGAATACTATGCTATAACATTTCTTCTTTTTTTTTTTAAGATTTATTTATTTATGCATAAAGAACTGGGGTACAGGCCAGAGGTGTGGGGGAGTGAGAGGATTCACCTGAGGCAGAGTGGGGAACAGAACAGGCAGACTGACTGAAATACACTGCTGAGGGTAGCAGCAGGTGAGACAGGAGAGATCTTTTGCGCCATGTGGGTTGTTCCCTGCCTGGCTGGGAATTGAACTTGTGCTGCAGAGGGTGCTGACAGCATCATAGTGCTGTGCTTAATCCCTTGCACCACCAGGGAGGCCCCAATATGCTCTAACATTTCAAGGTCACTGAAAACAAAAGACAAAATTACAAAAGTTGGCCTTAATTGAATGTATAGTAATGTTCAATACATTAGTGCAAAAGGATTTAAGTACTTATATTCTTTAATTATATTCACCCCCCAACAGTCTTTAACTTTAATGAAGAAGTACATTTCTTTGGATTACAGATATACAATAAAAAGACTTAATTTTTGCTGTAGAATATAATTATGTCCCTATTCAAATACATAACCTAATTTTGATGAGCAATGTGATACTTAACAATCAACCCATATATTAAAAGTCCAAATATTGAAAAAGCCTTCTGGATATGTTCATAAATAGCTATGTGTTTGGTTTGTGAAGTCCAAAACAATAGAAGATTGATCAACTGATTCAATAGTTTTCAAAAGTTTCCACAGAGACTTTTATCAAAGATTTTAAGGAAAAACAACATAGATGTATTTGATTTCAGTTTGTAACATCTTTGTATTTCACTTTGTAGCTTCTAACTTTCAACAGTGAAAAAGGCCCCAAAACAAATAACACTGCAGAGTTCCAATAATGGTGGTGTGAGAAGATTTATAAATTTCCTATGGAAAAGTTAAGTCTAAAACTGGACAAGTTTTTAAAAAAGGCATTTTGGGGCATTTGACATTGATTGGCCAATTTTCAAGGCAATTATTCTTGGAAAAATTGTTTAAGCTTTGGAGAGGAGTGATGCATGTCTGCAGCCCTTCTTCACCTACTCCTTATAGCTACTTGTGAAAAATCTGTTTTCAGCACAAGTGAGTTTTGCAAGGTCACAGGTTACATGATCTTTATACAAAAATCAGTTGTCACTCTCTATGCTATTTACAGTTTCCAAAAATGAAATTAAAAAAAATCTTTTCACAATCCTCATCAGGATAAATAAACTTTGGAATAATTTAACCTGTTTAACAAAAACTTCAGGACGCGCAATTCCTACGTGCTGAGAACTATAAAAACACTGGTGAAATAAAATGGAATAATACTTCTCAATAAAAAGGAATAGGCTATTTATACATTCAGCAGCATGAACAAACCTCAAGAGAAGCCAAACATCTGAGACTTCATACTGCCTGATTCCATTTATATGAAATTTCATGAGAAAGTAAAATTTTAGCTCAGCAGTGACCTGGAGCTGGGAAGGACAGGGATCCTTTAGGACTGAAGGCAATGGTAGAGATTGTGGTGATGTGGTGATGGCTGCACTTTAAAAAATTTATCAAAGCTCATTATAAAAAACAATTATAAAGCTCATTACAAAGAACAATTATAACAACTATAATAAGGAACATAAATTTTGCCAAAATAATTTTAAAAAGATAGAAATAGTCATATGTACACACACACAAAATATTTTCTGAAACAAATAACTCAGAGAGAGAGAGAACAATACTAAAGATTTCCCAGTGTGATATTTATTACATTGTTGAAAAAAACAAAAAAGTTATGAAATTCCTATACACCGAAAACTATAAAAAAATGGATGAAATAAAATGGGATAATGGTGTTCAATAGAAAGGAAAAGATTCTATATGCAACAATATGAACCAAAAAAATGTTATATTTAGGATATTGTCCAAAAATAATAGTTATAGACTGAACAAATATAGCTATGAGATTATTTGAAATTTTCACAATGAAATTTTCAGTGTTAGGACTTCAACTATCTTTATGTACATTTTATTTTAAACTTACCCAGGGTCTGAAGCATGATATAAATAAATAAATAAATGATTGAATAAATGAATAAATGAATAAAAATAATTTCCTACTTCTATTTAAATCACTACTGGTTTAATTTGGACTATTATTTAAATGATTATTATATATTTGCATAAAGTTGTTAGAAATATGAAGGAACTTTGAATGCAACAGTGATATTAGCATTAATCATAGACTGAAGTGCAAATATATTTTATTTGCTATTATGTTTTCATTACATCTGAAGCAGATTAATAAATAAAAACCAATTACTTGCTTTGCTTGCTGTCATGAAATATTCTTAAGAAAACCACTAGGGTTGTGAATAAGAACTAAGTTTAAACCTTATACCTTATGTGATATTTATTGCTAATTAAATAAAAAAAGTTGCATTATTTTAAATTAGACATATTGGTAATTAATATAGGTGTCTCTAAATTATTTAATTGAAAATTTTGTCAATTAAATAATTGACAAATTACTATTACAAATTACTAAAAATTTACTATCTCTGAGTTTTGATAAAAGAGAACTTGTGTTAAATTTAACGGCATTGATAATATCAGCATAGAAATAACCATTTTATATTTTGTTTAATTCCAATAAACATATAATATCTAAATAATACTTAGTTTTTCCTTCCCCAAAGCATTTAAATATTGTACTGTCAATTTCATTAAAAACAGGTTCTTGTAGAAATTTCGTATTCATCAGTTAGAGATATGCGATTGGTGTCTTACTTTCCCATTTATAGTAAACACGATTAATCATTCTCTTTTTGGCATAGTTCAGGGAGACAGACTTTGATCCAATTGCCTCATGGCTAAGTCTCTAGTCTCTGAGACTCAAGCAGATCAAAACTACTGATTCAAGTATAAAGATTTTGAAACTTTGTATTTCTCATCGAAAACAGTCACAGTTCACTCTCTGTAAGTTTTGCATATTATTAGAATATTTTTACTGAGTTTTGAAAAATGAGTACAAGCTGATATATTGAGAGTTGAAAAAGTAGGTTCGTTTTGTTTCTTAACAATAAGATGAGGTTTCCATCAAATGCTTGTTAAAGTTATTTTAAACGTTTCTTTATATGTTCTTGAATCTGGAGTAAAAATACTTTTTGATATATATTCATATTAGTAATTATAATTCTAATATTACAGATAAAAGAGCTCTTTTACATCACCATTTCCAATCAGTGACACTAACATTCCTAGTATGATTGTTTAACTTTCTAATGTCTAAACATGGTCTGCAAAATGACCTAATGAGATTAACCTGATTTTTAAATTTCATTCATTGGGTCATACTCCATTAGTGAAACACATATAAAATAGAAACACATATAGAATATACAAATGGGGCCTCCCCTGGTGGTGCAGGCAGTTGAGCATCACGCTGTGAAGCTGTTGCAACCTCTGCAGCCCCGGTTCCATACCAGCCCGCTGACAAGAGTCCCACATGGTGCGGCAGACTTCTGTCTCGCCCGCTGCTCCCCTCAGCAGTGTATTTTGTCAGTCTGCTTGTTCTGTTCCCTGCTCTGTCTCTGGTGAATCCTCTCACCCTCCCACATATCTGGCCTGTACTCTGGTTCTTGTATACATAAACAAATAAATCTTTAAAAAAAAATATACAAATGTCCCTAATATATATGTATACACACATATACATCCTTAAACAAGATAATGATCTACTGAAACTTTTCTAGGCCATCCATGGTTTATAATCTTGAGGAAACAACAAAGCAACACTACTATGTGCTGTGAGTCCTTTCCTTTTGAATGGAGTTTTCTGGCCTGGGCATTATGTTTGATGGCATAAATGTGTCATCTTGAAACTTACATATCTTCACATTTACTTTCTGCCCAGTTATATATGCATTCTTACATTTCACAAACTGTACTTCCCCTGGCCCAGATTTATTTTAAATACTGCTTTGTCTAGGTTTATATTCATTTTCTTACATTTATTTGTGTAAGTTTAGCTAGTTATTTATATTAATATTTTAATTGACCTAGTTTGTTTTGAAGAATATTGACTGATGCGGAGAAAACACGGCTCCATTTAAAATAAACTTGTTAGAGACAATTTCACATTTGTTTTCTAGGGAAGGGTATTTCAACCCTCTTCAGACACTGTGAAATGAACACATGAAGACTGGGATCTTTAACACTACACCTTTACCACTTTCTCATTATTTCACCACTTCACTCTCCTATCAGTAAGGATTGCTAAATTATTCAACATTTAATATGCACATTCCCCCAGAATATACTGATTATGTAATTGTGTAATTACAGGCTAAAAATAAAATGGACTGGAGAAACTAAACATTTTCAGTATATATTGCCAAACTCCTATTCAAAACAATAGATTTGATCCATTTGAAACTCCCATGCTTTGTAGCCCATAGGCTTTAATATAGGGAAACTAATCCTAAGTTGCTCAATATAAAATGAGATTTTTGCTATATAAATGTGAGTTTGGAGGTCTCTGAGAAAAACAGATTACAGAATATCAACA